GGCACGCGGCCCACGTTGGCGGCCGCCGTCACGCGCTGCACCACGGCCGCCTCGCCGCGCCGCTCCGCGGGCAGCGCCAGCTTCTCCGTCATCTCGCTCATGCCCGTCAGCTTCCCTGCGGCGGCGGCAGCGCCCGGGCGCGGGGCGCACGCTCGTGCCCGTGTCCCATCCGTGATGACTGCTCCCGCTGTGTCCCCTCCGTGTCCCGCTCTGCCGTCCCCATCTCTGCTTCCTCCCCGCTCCATCCCCACCCCGTCCCGCTGCCGCCCTTGTGCCGAGGCTCAGCCCCGTCCTGGGGCACCTCCACCCTTCCGCAAGGGAGCCCGCTGTCCCGCTCTTCCCTGACCGCTTGCTCCTCTCCGGGCCCTCCAGAGGTGGATTTGGGAATATCCTCCCTTGAGGACCCGTCCGGGCTGGTCTCGGTGTGGTGCTGCCCTGCAGAGCTAGGCTAGGGGGGCAGGAGCTATTCTAGGGGTTGGGACGGGGCCGGCAGCGTGCCGGCCCGCGGGGCGGCGGAGCCGCCACTTACCCTCGCCCGGGCGCGAGAGCAGCTCTAAGGACGTGGCGAGGGACGAAACGGGTGGTCACGGGGGGCACGGGGTGCCCCCAAGGCCGCCCGCCCCCGGCCCGCACTCACCCTGCTCCTTCTTGAACTCGTTCTCGCTCATGAAGACGGGAGCCATGAGCTCGCCCACGGGCGGCTGGATGGAGACGTAGAAGTGGCGCGTGTGGGTGCTGCGGAGGCGGGGGGAGCTCGGTGACGGTCCTGCCGTGCCCCCCATGCCGTGCCCGGCCGTCCCCCAGGGCACCCCGTGCCCGTGGTGTCCCGGTGCCGGGCGCTCACCAGAGCTGGAAGTTGGCCGCCTGGGTGGAGTCGCAGAAGTCGATGCCCATGACCACGCTGGCCGTGTCCCCGGGCGCCAGGCTCTCTGCAATGGCAGGGCTGGCACCGCACCCCTGTGCCCAGCTCCGTCCCCGCTGCAGCAGCCGGCGGGCGCCTCGCGGCACGGRGGTGCACCCGCCCGGCCCCCCGCGGGCCGCTCCGCTCCCTACCGATCTCGGGGAACTCATGGATGCGCATGCCCGAGGGCGGCTTGGGCGCGCTGAGGCGCACGCTCTTCACCTCGGCGTCCGTGTTGTTGCAGATGTGCATCTGCACGGCCACCATGCGCGGGTCGTGCGGGAAGGGCCGGCGGCTGAAGCAGTACTCGACGGAGAGCCCCTCGCCCGCCATGCGGTGCAGCAGCTCGTAGCTCCGCAGCGCGCCCAGCGCCGGGCTCAGCAGCTGCGCGGGGACGGGCGCCCGTGGGCCCGCGGGTCCACCCGGCGCAGCCGCGCGGGCTCCCGCACCCCGCGGCGGGGATGGGGGCCCAGGAAGGACACGGGGACATGCGGGTSACTTACAGTGGGCGTCAGGGAGGCGTCGGTGAGGGTGAGACCTTCCAGGTCGGTCACCARGCTGGTGGAGACGATGCTGCTGGAGGGGACAGGCTGTGGGGGAGGCGGCGAGACTGGGGGTGCGGGGAGAAGAGGGTGCTTAGCAGAGCCCTCACAGGCCACAGGGGACAGCCCTGTGCCTGGAGAGCTCCCTGGGGACAGCCCTGTGCCCGGAGCGCTCCCTGGGGACAGCCCTGTGCCTGGAGCGCTCCTTGGGGACAGCCCTGTGCCCGGAGCGCTCCCTGGGGACAGCGGCCCCCCCAAACCCGGCCGCGTGGCCCCGGCAGAGCCGAGCGCCGCAGCACCACTCACAGTCATCCAGGTCGAGCAGGGAGATCTCCTTGGGGCCCGCGGCCTTGGCGCCGGGCTTGGCGGGCTGGGAGGAGGCAGGGGCGCGGGGTGAGGCGAGGGGCCCTGTCCGCGTCGCCCGCACCCCTCCTGGCCCGCGCCCCTCACCGCCTTCCTGCGCTTGGCCTCCACCGGCGACTCCTGCGCCTCGGAGCCCGAGTCCGACTCGGACGAGCTGCTCTCGGAGGCGCTGGCCTCCTCGGACGAGCTCTCGCCAGGGCCCTTCCTCGCCTGCTGCTGCTGCCTCTTCTTCTTGTCCTTCTTTGCCCCTTCCTCCTCCTCCTCCTCCTCGCTGGGGCTGCAGGGAGAGGCCAGCTCAGGCCATACCTTGGGTGCAGATTCAGCTGGGGACCAGCCACAGCGGGGACACTGTGCTGGGTACCTGTCAGCGCTTGCCAGCGATGCTTTCCGAGGGGCTTCCTTCTTCTTCTTCCTCTTCGCTTCCTCCTCCTCCTTGTCCTCTGACTGGTCCTCGCTGCCCTCCTCTTCCTCCTCGCTGCCGGAGCTGGAGCTGCCCTCGCTGCTGCTGCTCTCGCTCTCCTCGCTGACGGACTCGGGCTCTGCAAGGAGGGACGTCTCAGCCCTGCTGCCACGTCCCGCTGCATCCCGCAGCGTCCCACCGCACCGCGTGTCCCTGTGCTGTGTCCCACCACGGCCGGCATCCCCCTCTCGTGTCCTTCGTCCACCCGAGCTCAGCTTGTGGCACCTCAGCCTAACAGCCCGCCGTGCTGCCCAGGCCCTCACCGCTGTCTGCGGACTCTGTGGGCCCCGACTCGCCTTCTGAATCGGAGTAGAAAGGTTTCTCCACCTTCTCCTTCCTCTTTTCACGGCTGGTGCACTTGGTCCACTCGGGAACCTGCCAGGGACAGGGATGGTGGGGCAGAGCTGGTGCTCATGGGCACAGCGCCCAAAGTGCCACCCGTGGGGAGGTGCCTCCTCCCTGCAGAGCAGGGCAACACCGTCAAAGTTGTGGAGCTCCTCTGTCTTGGGTTCCAGTGTCCCCCACCACTCCRGCAGGCCCCGAGGAGCTCTGCGCCGCCCCACGCTACCTCCACGTTCCTCACAGAAGGGTCGGGGGCCTCATCTGGCCAGTCGGGCAGCTCTTGGTAGCCAACTGCCTTGGCRTTGAGCAGGTGGGACAGCGAGCCCAGCTGGAAATGGTCTCGATCTACGGTAGGACCAAGAGTTGGGCAGCTCCAACGCAGCCAGACACAGCTGGGGTTACAGCTCTGCCCATCCACACCCCACCTTCCCGTGTCCCCATCCTCTGCCACCAGAGCTGGTACCTTTGAAAGAGGATTCCAGGATGGGAGCGGGTTTTTGGGCCAGGAAGAGCTTCTTGGCATACTTGTTGAGGGCCCCGCTCTTCTCAGTGGGCACGATGAGCTGGCGGATGAAGCGGGCCCGGTCCCGGATGTCGTAGTTCTGGTCGTACTTGGCCAGGTTGAGCACGTACTGGGTCAGCAGCTTGCTCTGCACCAACAGGCGAGCTCAGGGGCAGTTTCTGCCTCCCCAACAGGGAAACTGAGGCAGGGACAGGGCCACCTCAGCCCTGTGCCCCTCGCCACACTCACAAGAAGCCTGTTCACCGGTACCTGCTTGGAGTTGGTCAAGTAGAGCTTAGCKGCCAGGTTGATGACCTGCAGCTTCACAATGTCCTCCTCGTTGGTGAAGGACTTGGCCATCTTGCGCAGAACGTCAGGCGCGATCTTGGGCACATGCTCGCAGTACTCGCCGATGAGCCACAGGATGCTGGCCCGTGCCATGGGCACCTAGAGATGGCCACGGGCATCACCCTCACCCTGCTCRTGGGCCCCATTCAAGCACAGGCCCTCGGCCGAGATGGACCCCAGCCCCTGGAACACCTTGACTCACCTGGATGTTGTCAGTGAGCTTGGCCATGTGCTTGATGATCTCGCTGTGCTGGGCCGGCTGCATCTGCAGCAGCTTTTTGATGACCACCACGGATTCGGCCACCACCAGCTCTGCAGGCAGAGAGCCTGTGTTAGCAAGGTCCTGCCCTGAGATCTCCTGCTCCAAGAGCAAAGGAGCCCCAGCGCCAGCACGGCCGCGCTTRCTCACCATCGCGGTTGGAGAGCAGCTGGACCAGGCCGTTGAGGCAGGTGTCCCGCACCTTCCCGATGTTGGTGGCGCAGCGCCCGATGGCTTGGATGGTGGCTGCCACAAAGTCTTTGTCCATGCTGCGGATGTAGGTCTGCACGGGCGTGCAGAAGGCGCGTTACCCACCACGCACCCGTGCTGGGAATCCCTCGGCAAGGCAGCTGCGTGCCGGGAGGTTGGGAGATGATGCCATACTTGGCATTGCCCAAAGTCCCTTGTCTCCCAAAGGAGACAAGGAGGAGAAGGATAAAGGGACAGGAGCCCCGTTATCCCGCCGTGGTGCTGGCACCCAGAGTCGTGCCGGAGTGGCACCCATGTGGTCTTGGAGGGCCTGTGCTCCCAGCATACCTGGAACTCCCGCAGGATGGTGGAGATGTTGGTCTCATTGGCCAGGTTGGTGAGGACCTCCAGCTGTGGAAGGAAGGAGAGAGGGGCAGGAGGGGAACACAGTGTCAGGGGCTGGGTCCCTGGTGTCCTCCCTGTGCCCCTGTGGCAAAAGGGTCCTGAGCCAGATCCTAAAAGCCCTGGAGGCCTTACAGGGGGTTAGGAAGTGTGTGGGGCTACCAGCAAAGGATCCAGCTGGGTTTTCTTGGACTTACCTTGAGGATCTTGATCTGTGTGGGGTCCGTGGAGCGGATGTAGAAGCTCTTCAGATAGGGCTCAAACATCCCCTGTGTGGAGACACAGCAGCCTTAGGGACCTCTGTGGTACCAGCTGCCCAGCCCACACCAAGGTCCTGGGCAGGACACCCACTGAGGTCCTGGGCAGGACACCTACTGCCACATGTCTGCTCTGTGAGCCCCTGGGCTGACCCTGCTGCACCGGCAGCCAAAACTCACCCTCCGTTTGATGGACATGGTGGCCACGTTCTGCAGCACCACGTACTGCACCTCACTGTGGGGATGGAGAGGGATATCAAGACCAGTGACCGGCACAGCCCCGTGCAGGGGGCAGGACCCGGCGCAGCCCCCCATGTCCCAGGGGCCAGGGCACCCCGGCAAGCACGGGGGACGCTGGGGGACCAGCACTCGGTGCCACAGACCTGTGGCTCCGCAGGAGGCGCACCAGAGCCTTGGCGATGACGCCGACCTCCGCCTTGGGAGCCAAGTGGAAGTAGAGCTGAGCCACGGCCATCACAACCTGCGGGAAGGCACCTGTGTGTCACTATGGGGGCACCATGGGGGACAYCCCTATGGCCCCGGTACGTAGTCATGTCCCCACACCAGCCCAAGGACACAAAGCAAGACCCATCCATGTGGATGCCCCCAATGTTTCTCCTCCGGGGGGTCCCTCAAGGCCTCATCAGCACCCTGGTGGCACCGTGGCCATCAGAGAGGCGCCGACAARAGGTGCTAGGACACTAGCTGGTGGTCACTGGGGGCTGGAGGAGGTGGCACAGGGCCCGCGGARGGCCCGTGGCCGCGGAGCTCACCGCGGCGTTGCGGCTCTGCAGCAGGGGCTTGGTGTTGCGCAGCAGCAGGCGGTGGTCGGGGTCCATGACGTAGGGCTTGCGCTTCGCCAGCGAGGCAGCCTCTGCCTTGGCGTCCTTGGCGTCCTCCTCATCGGAGCCGTAGAAGGCCTTCTCGGTGCTCTCTTCCAGCAGGGATTCCTGCTGGCACACGGCAGCGCCCGCGGCAGTGCCCAGGGCTGGCTCCCCAGCACCGCCCCAGCCGCTCATCCCGCCTCCCATCACCCTCGGCTCCGAAGCGCTGGGCTGTGCCCGGGCCCGGACACGAGGTGTTGCAGCACATCCCACGTTGAAGCGAGGGCTGCCCCGGGGCCCCCGAAGCGCCTCCGGCAGCCGGCACCGCGCTCTGGTCCCAGGGGAGCTGCCGCCGGGCCGCGGTGCCGGGTGGCCGCACTCACGTTCTGGTTGGGGCTGAGGAACTGGGTGCGCGCGTAGCGCGTCAGCATGTTGATGATCACCACTTGGCCCCACTCCTCCACGTCGATGAGCAGGTTGCAGAGCTTGCGGTAGTTCTTGTGGATGAGGTCGATGCGCTCGGGACAGACCTCCTCAAATGCCATCACCACGCTGCCGGCCACCAGCTGGGGACGTAAGGCTTGAGGGCGGTCGGAGCAGCGGGCGCTCCTGGGGACGGTGGCGTCCCCCCCATCTCGGGACAGGGGAGGCGGCGCACTCGGCTCACCGTGGTCTTGTCGGCCAGCAGCTTCTCAATCACTTCGATGAGCTGGTCCTTCTGGTCCGAGTCCAGGCTGCAAGGGGAGCAGGGTCAGCCTGGACGGGAGTCCCTCACAGCTGGGCCAGTCCCATGGGGTGGCCCTGCCCCAAACTGCCCATGGGACCCCGGCAGCCTTAGCCCCCCCCGTTACCTGTACAGCTTGGGGATGGCGTGGGCGGCCGTCTTGCGCACGTACGGGGACATGTCCGACGCAGCCTCTTTGATGGCCAGCATCATGATGGGCACGATGATGGGCACACGGATGCTGGAGAGGACGCGCAGGGCGCTGGCGCGGATCAGCTGGTTGGGGTCCTGCCATGGGCACGCACAGCGCTGCAGCACGGCGAGCCGGGCTCCCCTCCGGGTTGGAGGTTCTGCCCATCGCCACCGCAGCCTCCCCACACGGTTCTGCCCTCCCAAAGAAGCGGCGGCACSTACCTTGAGTCCTCGCTGGAAGGTGGAGATGGAGAGCAGGGCCAGGTCCTGCTGCTCCTCGGCGTAGCGCACCAGGTACACGTACACCAGCTTCTTCACCTGTGGGCCGCGCAGCAGAGCGTGGCCAAGGCCGTGGGGGCTCAGGCTTATCCCCACGCTGGGCCAGCTGCTGTCACCCAGCGCTTCCATCTCCCCCAAATTCAGCTCACTATCTCTCCCCAAAGCCTTCCTACTGCCAAGCAATATCCCTCCCGGATGCTACACACCTGTGGGCACCCTTGGGAGTCAGCCCCTTGCTCAGCCTGCAGCGAGGAAATCTGGCACCTTCTCGCCGCAGGCCGTGCAAGGGCTGCTGCGTGCCCTGGTCACGGGCCCCGCGCCTGGCACCTGCCTCACCTCGATATTCTTGCAGGCCACGTTTTTCACGACGGCTGGGAAGAGATCGGAGGCGTTCTTCCCGCGGGCGATCATCTGGGAGGGAAGGAAGAGCGTGACGCCGGGCATGGTGGCGGACCCATCGAGCCTACGGCTCGGTGCTGCCCGCCGCCGCGCCCACGCTGCAGCAGCGCTCACCGCCACGATCCTCTTCATGGCCTCCAGCTTGAGCGAGTCCTTGTTGCTGTCCAGCATCTCCTTGAGGTCATCGTGCCTGTGGAGCAGCCCCGGGGCTGTGAGGAGCGGGTCCTCATCCCGGCTCACGCGCCATGGAGGGTCCCTATGTTCTGCTGGGCACGTCTCTATGTGCTGCTGGGCACAGCGCAGCCCCTGGTGCCCACTGCCAGCTCCCAAACGCGGCCCTCAGGAGCTGGCTTGAGGAGGACCCCAGCCTCAGGACGTGTCCCTYCTCAGGATGCAGAAACAGAGGGAGGAGAGCCCTGTTCTCCAGTCCCTTCACTTTTCCCACCTGCTCCCATTCTGGCTCTGGTTTTCCTGGAGGCAGAGGGCACCAGCTGGGCTTTACCCCGGGCTGGGGCAGGAGAGATGCCCGTGCCAGGTGGGGAATCCAACCCACAGCTGCTTCTGAAATATTCATCTGGGCAGGAGTTCAGTTACAGGCGGTGAAAAAGGACCCGTGTCCCCGGGAGCGTTGCTGGGGCGACTCGCGCGGACAGAGGTTGTCGCCCCAGGCACTGTCGCTGCCTTGTCACCAATGTCCCTTTTTTAAGGCTTTTTTTAAGGTTGTCGCTGTGGTCCCTGAGCCAACCTGCTGTCACGGCACYGCTAGATGTGCAAGGCTGCATCTGCCCACAACGGCCCCTTCCCCGGTGCCGCCGGGCGCTTTCCCAAAACAGCGCTGACTTGCACCAAAACCTGGCCTGCCGACACGCTGCGCTTGCTGCCCGCGCGCACACACCCAGCCAAAGCGCCCCATGCTCACACACCAAACTGTCCCCAAATCCTGCCCTGCAGCCCCGCGCAGAGCCACGGCGCCCATTCCTGCGGAGCGCCCAGCACGCCGCGCCGGGCCAGGGCTCATCCCCGCCGCCGGGGCGAGCGGGGGTCCTCACCGCAGCGGCGGCGGTGGCGGCTGCGCGGCGTCGGTGCCGCTCGGTGCCGCGGCCTC